AGCTAAGAAAATGTTTATCTCCCTGAGCCTGGCCTTCATAATTCCATTCCATCACAAAAACCCACAAAACAGGAGCCATTAAACAATCAACCCCAGGCCTGGGACTAGAGCCAGGTTTTCAAGTCTTTTTGGAACCCCAGGAAAGAGGGTGCTGTCCTTATCTCTTGGTGGGATGCCGTTACAGAGGATGAAGGCCGCAACAGAAAAGGCAGGCTTCCTACGTCCTGGAAGATGGCAATGTTTAATGGAGGGGACCTGGAGTGCACCCACTCTGCTGGAACGCACTGGGCAGGCAGAAACGATTGGAGTAGAAGTCCTGTTGCGGGTGGCTGTGCAGGGCAACACTCTGGGATGAATGCGTTGCAAGACTTGGAGAGGCAAAGAGCTGGAAGCTGGGTACCAGGAGGATCCACAGGGTGGGGTCAAAAAAGGCAAGAGGGTGGCCACAGTGGCATGACTTAAGCTCGTGCACTAAAAAGTGGGCAGAGCTTAGATCGCACCGTCATGGCTGCCATCTTACATTTTTTTGTCCCCACCCTGCGGACCCCTCGCTTGGTACAGACTCTCATGGGACTGACTTCTGTTTTGATCTGTTGATCCCAGACATGGGATAACAGAGAGATGGTATTCAGAGGCTCCTTTAATCCGGAGGGCACAAAACCCTTTCAACATCTTGGAATGCTTGATCACTGCTAATTCATTGGGTTGGTTAAAGGATACTATGACTTCAGGTATTGCTTTGAGATCCTCCTGCAAGCCAACATGGCTGGTTGTTGCATCTGCTTCTAGATAGGAAAGGAACACTGGGCTTAACCAAGAAGCCCCTTCTGCTTAATAGGTTGGAAGATGGGCAGGACCAGCCAGAGGTACGAATTGACTGACACTGTAGAAGACGCTAGGACATTAGACTCATGGTGCACCATTCTGGCTGAGACTCCAGAAAGGTGACCAGACTTCCTTGATTTTGGAGGCCAGGGGCAGTGATGGTGGTGATGATGGAAGATCAGCCCCTTCACCAGTACTGATTCCTTGGCAAACTCCCTGATTTGTTTCAGGTGTGGCCTCCAAAACTGGACAGAATAGATGGAAACAGGTTCAGTCCCTGAAAGATTAAGCAATGTTCTGATGCTGTGAAGATGGCAGCTTTGACCACTCCTATCAAATGGCTCTAAGGAAGTTGCCTAGCCCAGCCTTAGCTGGAGGAAGTAGAACCTTGTCCTGTCTGTGCTTCTCTGTTAGTAGGGAAAAAGATTCTTCTGGGGTTATCCTAGCTTTTTTTGCCAATCTGAGCTGTCCATCAAGCTGTAGTAGGCTTGGCTCGAGCAACACTTGGAGGCTCTCTGCTAACCTTTGAAGTGGAATAATTTACTGTCAGCTAATCGGCTGGATTCCCGAGTTCAGTCCCCTGAGTCACAGATCACCTTACTTTGTTCTGGAGAACCTCACCGTCTGCTCCACTGCCCAACAGGTACAAGTTCAAAGCTCAAGAACTCAACCACCGCATTTTGGAAGGAGGGCCCATCCTGCCCAAGAAGGCCCAGGTGAAAGAGCTCACCAAGCCAATTGGCTTCAACCTGGAAATTGAGAAGCGGATCCAGGAGCGGGAGAACAAGAAGCCACAGGAAGAGGAGGAGCACTTTGAATTCCATTCAAGGCCATGTCCAAGCAAGATTCTGGAAGATGTAGTGGTAATTGTTGTTGGGTTCACCTCTTCTTACAAGGTTTCATTTGAGGTGTCTGCTGATTTAATGCTTGCAGATAGTGAGATAATAGCTTTTGTTAGATACTTCTGCATTTCATTGTTGTATTTTATTGTTTTTGTTGTATTTGCTGATCTCAATAACCTAGTAATCCACCCAATAACTGAGTTCTCTGGGTAGATGAAGAATAAATAAGTAGGCTTCATAATCTTGTAATAATCCCATTGCTGAACTCTGGGAATTGCTTAACATGTGTTGTGCTAAGCCATTGTGTGCTTCAACCATGAGTTGTTCAATGAACCACAATGGCATAGTTGGTTCCTACATCCTGCTGTGTTGTAATGTGGTGTCTTGCTTCTTGCCTGTGGTCTGTTTTATCAAAGGCTTCCTTTTGATTATGTTGCTTATGTAAGACAACTTATGATCCAGTTTTAGTAGGGCCTTCCCCAGCCTGATGGCCTACAGATGTTTTGTGGTCCGACTCCACCTCCCATAATTCCAGGCCAGAAGGGCCAAAGGCAGTATACAGCTCTTGGAGGGGCAGCAGTTAGAGCTGGCAAAGTGTGGGCATCCCACAGATTTCCAGAAAGACATGTAGGATGCTAAAAATTTTATTTTTGATCCCTTTCCTTGCGAAGGCGTGGCATTTGTCTCCAAGCTGCCCTTCATATGATCATGATTTTAAGTGAGCCTTCCACCAATGTCCCTTTTTGGGCCCATCACTGCCAGCTCAACATCCACCTGCTATTTGCTGCTCTTCTCCAAATATGGCCTTTCAACCAGTCTCTCTCACTCTTTGCTTGTTGCCCAGCTTATTTCCATGTCACTTGTATAACGGCTCTTCTCGTGTTTCGGCTCCCCTCCCCATGTTTCCTGCAGTGCTGAGCAGAGGAGAAGGACGGGGTGGCTTTAGGGAGCGCTGACACTGAGCAGATGTGACCAGTGCCCTTGCAAGCCCTGAACGCCCATCCTCAAAAGATTTCTGGGCACAAGGGTTTCATTGAAGAGGCCCAGGCCAGACAGAATGGGGAGAGAGCCATTGCAGAGTGATCCTGCTCCAATAAGGACAGAATATTCTCCTGATGAAGACCTAGGTTGTGGGGGTAGTCAGTGCTGGTCTGCAAAATGAGATCTCCTTTTGTGCTGAGATGGCCACTGGTAGCACAGCCTGTCTCCAGCAAGGAGTTTTGAGGGGGAATTTGCTTGCAGTCGCGGGTGCCGTGGGAGTGTCTTCTCCATCTTCCTGCATGACCAGGCAGCCTTCCTGTGGCTCTCTACCCTTCCTCTCCCCCAGGGCGTTCCAGAGAAGAAGCAGCTGCCCATCACAGTTCCCAAGTCACCAGCCTTTGCCCTGAAGAACCGAGTTGGTGCCCTGCTGAGAGAGGAGCAGAAAGAAAAGGTCTCTGTCTTGCCCTGCGGCTTGGCGCCGGGGTATCTCTACCCCTCGGCTGAGCAGCTGGTTCCTCCCCTCAGGCTGTTCTGAAGCACTGGCTGCTTTCCCTGGGCTGAGGGACTTGAGGCAGTCTCCCTGGACCAGTACTGGGACTGGTGCCAGTGCCAGAATGAGCCCTCCCAAGGCTCTGTCCCTGGGTCTCCTCAAGGAGAAACGGTCCACATCGCGGGCTGCAGAAAAGGTGGCTCCGATTCTCCCATTTTCCTTGCAAGGTGCTGATGCTGGTGTCTCTTGTAGGTCGAGGAAGCGGCCCCCGTGATTAAAGCCAAGCTGATGCCACACTTTGGGGTGCCCTTCAGGCCAAAGGCTGCCGAGCCCAGGCAGGTGGAAACGTGCCCTTTCTCTTTTGACGCCCGGGACAAGGAGAGGCTGCTCCAGAAAGAGAAGAAAATTGAAGA